TGTCCCAGCAGTGTCTGATGAGTCCAGCATCCACAAGTTATTTCCATATTAGAATTAATTTTAGACAAATGTGGTTCTGCGATAGATACAAACACAATTAAGTTCTTGTATCAGGATGCTCATCCTGGAGTGGATGCAAAACAGCTCCAACAATTCCTGATTTGCAAATCTGTCTGTGGTGGATGGAGAAGGGAGGTCAGGCTGCTCTTGGTGTTGAGAAAATGCTGAAACCAGCCTGACTCATTTAATCTCCTCCTGTCCTGGCTGATCTCCTCTCTTTCCCCTCCCACCCATTGGCTTTTGTCTCCCACCAGGCCCCTGTGAAGAGCCTGGCTCTGTGTTCTCCATCCCCTCCTTGCTGGCACTGCCAGGCTGGGATGAGGAGCCCCTCAGCTTTGCCTGCTCCAGGCCGGACAAGCCCAGCTCCCTCAGCCTCTGCTCACAGCACAAGGGCTGCAGCCTCACCTTGGAGGCCCTTCCCAGACCCTGCTCCAGCTGCCAGACATCTTTCCTGCCCTGGGCAACCCAACCCAGGCCACAGTGACCTGGATAATCCACGTCCCTGATGTCCTGGTCACACAGCCCTGGCCCCTTGTCCCCATGTCAGTCTCTAGGGTGGATCCTGTGGAACATCCTTGGGTGGAGGCTGTGGCTCCAGGTGGGCTGGGGGCATTCCAGGGGACAGGGACCCTGCTGGGCATGAACAGCATTGGACTTGTTGGGAGAAACTCTGAGGGGGAGCTGGGGCAGAGTGACCAACCCAGTGACCTGACACAGCCCTGCTGGGATGTCACACAGCCCCTCTGGGTTGTCACAGCCTTCTCTGTGAGGTCACAGCCCATTCTCCAATGTCACACAGCTGGTCTCTGATGGTTGGTCACAGCTGGTTACAGCCAACTCTATGATGTCACAGTCTGCTCTGTATCAGATCTCTGCCCTGTGATGTCACAGATGGCTCTGTGATGTCACAGAGGCAGTATATGATGTCATAGCTTCTCAAACAGTTCACATAACCCACTCTGTGATGTCAAAGCGCACTCTGTGACCTCATGTTGCCAGATGATAAATTGTCTCCACCAGCTGAGCTGACACCTGGAGCTTTTTCTCCAAAACCCCAGGCCTATGGAAACCACACAATGCCCATTGTGTGAGAAGGGGAACTGGAAGTTCANTGTGCCACTGAGGGAACAAAAACTGTTCCCAGGGCTGCTGCTAAAGGAACCAGGAGCTGGTTGGGCAGCAGCAGTGCCTGGAGCAGACAGTGTTTGTGACAAGCTGCAGAGGAACTGAGGAGCTGAGCCCAGGGGCTGTTGGCCAAGGCTGAGCCCCATGGAACATTTCTCAGCTGGCAGGGTGGCCTGGGAAGGGGAGGGGGTGAGACACAGTAGAAATCTCCCAGAGTAGAAATCTATTCTGATTTAAGTGAAATGTACATTCTTGAGTTGAGTCTGTGGTTAGAAAGCATAGCTATTTAGCCTGACTGCAGAACCTAGGCTTAGTGAAGTTGCTCAGTGAAAGACAGAGATAAGAGAGGATGATAGAGAGAGACAGAGACTGCTGTGAGAGGAAGTCAACATGACCTAGGAATTCTTCCTGGTAAAGAGGAACTAGTGGCAAATGTCCCGCGAAATTCGTAAAAATGAATATGTATGAACCTATTGTGAAACTGTATGCATATGTATCGGAGAGGGAGATAAAAAGGGACCTGAAGTTCCCAGAGGGACACATGCCTTTTTGAGGAGAGCAATCTCCGCATGCGTCCAGCACTGTAATAAAACATACCGGCTTTACAACTTTCAGAAAGTTGTAGAGTTTTTGGCTATATCTCTGCAAAACAGAGGGAATGCAGCAGCACAGGGCCATGGAACCAAGGGACCACTGTGACACTGTGGGGCCCTGTGAGACCAAGGGACCATTGTGACACTGTGGGGCCTCATGGAATCATGGTCAGCACTGTGACATTGCAGGGCCTTATGGAATCAAGGGGACTGTACTGACACTGTATGGCTCCATGGAATGTAGAGATCATTGTGACACTGCGAGGTCCCATCAAACCAGGGGACCATTGTGATGCCACAGGGCATCATAGAACCGTGGAGACCACTGTGACACTTTGAGGTATCATGGAACCAAGGGGCCATTGTGACACTGTAAGATCCTAAGGTCTTACAATGGTGTCAAGGGTCCACTGTGACATTTCAAGGCCTCATGGAACCATGGGGAGACCATTAGGACACTACACAGCCTCATGGAACCAAGGGGCCATTGTGACACTGTGGGGCACCATGACACCAAGGAGATCATTGTGACATGAGGGGAGTCATGGAATCATGGAGTCCATTGTGACACTTTGAGGCCACATGGAATAGGCAAAACATTGTGACACTGAAAAGCCCCATGGAACCAGTGAGACCATTGTGACCCTGGGGGTCCCCACAGAACCAAGAGCACCATTGCGATACTGCGAGGCCTGGTGAAACCAAGAGGCCTTTGTGACACTGCAGGGTTGCATGGAACCAAAGGGCCATTGTGACATTGCAGGGATTCCTGTAATCAGTGGTCCATTGTGACACTGGGGACCCAAAGGAGACCATTGTGACACTGCAGGGCTGCATGGAACCAAAGCTCCAGGGTGACACAGGGGGGCCTCCTTTCATCAATGGTCCTTTGAGACATTGTGGAGCCAAAGGAGCCCATTGTGACACCACAAAGCCTCACGGTCCAAAGGTCCATTGTGACATTGTAGGACTCATGGAACAGAGGAGTCNGCACTGCAACAGAGCTTTTTCTGCTGACCATTATGTGCTATGACCGCTACGTGTCCATCTGCAAACCCCTGCACTACGGGACCCTCCTGGGCAGCAGAGCTTGTGCCCACATGGCAGCAGCTGCCTGGGCCAGTGCCTTTCTCAATGCTCTCATGCACACAACCAATACATTTTCCCTGCCGCTTTGCCACGGCAATGCCCTGGGCCCGTTCTTCTGTGAAATCCCACAGATCCTCAAGCTCTCCTGCTCAAATTCCTACCTCAGGGAACTTGGGCTTATTGTATTCTCCATATGTTTAGCGTTTGGCTGTTTTGTGTTGTTTTCTCCTATGTGCAGATCTTCAGGGTTGTGCTGAGGATCCCCTCTGAGCAGGGACAACACAAAACCTTTTCCACCTGCTTCCTTCACCTGACTGTGCTCTCCCTGTTTTACAGCACTGTTATGTTTGCCTACCTGAAGCCCCCCTCCATGTCCTCCCCATCTCTGGATCTGTCCCTGTCAGTTCTGTACTCAGTGGTGCCTCCAGCCCTGAACCCCCTCATCTACAGCCTGAGGAACCAGGAGCTCAAGGCTGCAGTGAGGAGATTGATGACTGGCTGATTTCAATAACATTAAACTGCTGGTAATTTCTGCAAAACACTTGTAATAAAAGTCATCTTTGGTACTTCTTGTTGGTTTGGTTTTGGTGGTATTTTTTCATATTGTCCAAAAAAAAGCAACTCTTTGTTCCATTTCTCATTTTGTTTCTCTCCGTTTTCCCTGTGGCCACAGACTGTGTCGATGAGGCACTGTGCACTTGGTGGCTTTAAATGACCTAAAGGATCTTCCAGCAGAGTTTTCTGCAGAGATGCCCTTTTCTTGCCTTCTTTGGGGCTGCAGCAGCAATGTCTGTGTGCAGAGCTGGGGGCAGATCAGNAGGCTCCCCAGGGACTCCTTCCAGCAGATCCTTGAGGCCAGTGGGATGTGGGCTAGGGGGGATGCTGAGGGCAGGACAAGGGGCTGACAGTGCCCAGCCTGGCTGGGGCTGTGCCAGGAGGCCCCAGGGCCTCAGGACAAGGTGTCTCCTCACAGCCCTTGGTGGCACAGACCCTGCTGTGCCCCAGGGCACCAAGGCTTGCTTCTCTTTGTCCCCACCTGTCATCACAGCCTCCAGTTCTTTGCTCTGCCTGGGCCTGGGGACACTTTCTCTGTTGTTTCTCTCACTGGAACCCATTAAAAGTCCAAGAAACTTTGGAGTTGGATTCTGACTGGGAGTTCTGGGGAGGTTTCTTCAGCTCCCTCTCAGGGACTGATGTTCAGGGCCTCAGCACAAAGCCCCAGAGGCTCATTAAAGTCCTTGTGCTGTTTCTGTGCTGCTGAGCTGGGCCTGGCACAGAGGCAACTCCTGGTAACCGAAAAGAGCTTCAAAAGCACATTTCTCTTGATGAGCAGCTCTTCTGCCAGCCCAGCAGGGCTGGGGCACTGCCTGCAGCCACCCCGGGCACAGCACAGAGGCACAGAGAGCTTCCATCAGTCAGAGCTGGGAAGGTGTTGAGAAGTGGCTGGGGCAGAATCACTGCCAGCCCTTGGCACAGGAACCTCTGGCTGCAGGACAATGCAGCTGCAGCTCTTGGAGCCACCTCCGAAAGCTGGAACATCCCAATGCCTACAGACGCTGTGAGTACAACTCTGAGTATTTCTGGTGCAGGGGAGGTGAAATGCTCATGATGCTCTGACATGCTGAGGGTTTTTGATCAGTCATAGAATATTTCCAAGACAAGGATTTTTTTAAAAAATGAGTAAATTTCCAAAGACTCTGGATTCAGTTTCCTACTATTGTACCGTGGCAGGGAGGGGGAGATAAATTTTTAAAGCTGATTATGAATTATTTATTATTAATTTTGACAAGTGCCTGAGACATCCAAATTGTACCTTTTAGTGATCAGTAGTAGATCCCTAATGTGCTTTCAGCCACTCTGCCCATGGACAGCAGCAGCATCACCTTTGATGGCTGAGCTGTCCTTTCTCCAAGCTGCAAACAGAACCTGGCCCCAGCCAGTGCTCTGCAAACAGGCAGAGTTCTTTTAGGCCAAGGAGAGGGCACAGAGATTTGGGGTCTATGAGTGTTGGGCATGGAGAGATCAGACACAGGGAAACACCTGCAGGTAGGAAATCTCCAGGAAGCAGAGAGAAGATTGGGCAATGAGAGAAAACAAACCCCAGCAATGCTGTGGCAGGGAGAGTTTAGAGAGTTCCTCAGGATCCCCTCCAGTGCAGCCCCTCCCTCTGAACAAGCCCCCTCCCTCCTGTCACCCAGCCAAGCCTCTGCCCTCAGGGCCGGGGCTCCAAGGCGGGCAGCCCCTCCTGTGTTACCATTCCTACTCTCTGGCACTGGGGGTGCAGATGCTGACAGAGCCTTCTGTCTTAACAGGGTTTCAAAGTGGAAAATGGGGACAGGACCCTGTCCTCCTCCCACATCTGCAGAGCAAGGCTGACACATAAAAACCCTGTATGTAGCTGCACTGAACCTGATGTCCCACTAAGTCAGCATTAGCCAGGGCTTCCCACTTGGAGCTAAAGGAAAAGCTGATAGAAAATTAGAGGGTATCAGAGGGTTGCAAGAGAAAGGTCTGTCAGAATAGTCTTTAATTTTGCTGGAAGAATATTGTCCTAAAGTGTCACTGACTTTTCTCCATTAACATCTCCCCAAGGCCTGACACAGCAAATGTCCAACAGCAGCTCCATCAGACACTTTGTTCTGCTCGCATTGGCAGACATGCGGCAGCTGCAGCTCCTGCACTTCTGCCTCTTGCTGGGC